CTCTGACTGATTGGAAGTGGCTGCCTGGAGTGTTGATCAATTAATAAAAAGTGCCAGGCCTGTGTGCATGTGTGTATGTGTGTATGTGTGTGTGCACACAGATGTGGGATGTATGCATGGGACCAGTAGCTCCAGGATTCAGGTCAGTCACTCGTCATCACTGACTTCAGATGTCTCTTCACTCCAGAACTGGCTGCCTCATTTACAACCTGAATTCTTTGCTTAGGAATTTTTTCCTGCAGTAGCTGAGCATCCAGAAATCTCAGCTCAAGCCTCTGAAATTAAAAACTATTCCTTAAAGAAGCCCTAGTGAAGTGTGTGACGGAGTTGTGCTGTGTGGTTTCTGCCCAGGACGTGGTATTCAGCATTAGTGCAGGAGGTGGTGAGTTTTGACATCCCAGGAACAGCCTGCGGAATGGTGACAGGGGACAGTCCAGCTCTGTTGAACCCTCACAGGTCCTGTCAAATGCAGAGTGGCAGCCCCACTGAGGGATGACATGATGATTGAGTGTGTCAGAGCTGAGGTCTGAGGTCTCGGGCACGGGTTCTCGTTCGCAGCCCTGACTGACCTCAGCTTCCATTGGGCTCTTGGAAACACAGGGCCCCTGTGATTCCTTCTGCAGAATGGAGCACCACAGTCATGCCCCAGGTCCAGAAATGCGGTATTGACCCTAGTGTGTACATGATCCAAGAAGGAGCAGGGTCTGCATGGGGATTACTACTAAAGACCTAGAAGCAGGGAAACCTCCACAGAGAACTGACTACTTCAAGAATAGCTTTGGGGCCTGAAGTCACAGGGCTCCAGTAGCTGCCACTCTCCTCTTACTCAATCCACACCCATTATAGTTTCATCTTCTGAAGTCTCTTTCACAAGAAGATCCCTCAGACCCCTACATCCCAAAGATCTTATCACCTATCACAAAACATCTAATATTGAATGGTAAGCTGAGGAGGGGGCGGGAAAGCTAGTCCATCTGAACAAGTCCTGACTGCAGTCTTGGATTTCTTATGGGTGTTGACCCAAGAAGCACCCTAGGACCCTGCCTGCCCTGTGTGGAGGAAGATGGTGTGGTAGAGAGCTTGGTATTTGTGCTTTGCAGCCTCACAGACAGGGGTTTAACCCCCCAGGCCTGGCATATCTTAGCTGTGTAAATTCAGGCATGTTACTAAAACCTCCCTGGGTCCCATTTTCACCATATGTAAAAAGGGGATATACCTACCACAGAAGGTGGTTTTGGGGATTAAATGAGATGAGACAGAGAAGGGGCTTGGGCCTATGTGTTCACATACCGAGTGTTCCCTGGGCCATCGCTGTCCGTGTGATTAAAGGAAATGATGGTTGAACTGAGGCCAACAGAAGGTGAGGAGGTGGGGAGGGGCCAGAACAAAGTGGGGTGGGAACACAATGGGAGATGGTGGTAGACTTGGATGCTAGGGTGGTGGGTGTGGTGTGGTAACAACAACCCCACGGAGAGGTCCGGTATTTCTAAGACACAAATAACATTGTGAACTAGTTACCACACATTTTTTTTTTCCTTCAAGAAAACCTCTTTGTGGAGCTAATGTTCACAGAACAGAGCCTGCTGGCTGAGCAGGAAAGTAGCCCATGGAGTCACGGTATCCCCAGGTGCTATTATCCGAAATAGCAGCTGCATGGTCGTTTGGCAGTAGGGATAATCTCAGCAAGGTCAAATCTGAATTCTTTGTTTTCCTTCCCCAAACTGCTCCTCCTGACTCTCCCCATGACATCCTCAGTAAGAGAAAGCTTCTTTCTCTTACACCTCAAATTCAACCCAGGAAAACATCTCTGGCCTGGATTATCTCCATGTCTCCTGAGGGGTCTTCTCGGTGCACACTTGCCTGTTGGTTGGAGGTTGTCCTGTCGAAAACCACACGTGGTTTCCTGCCCCACTCAGACTCGAGGCCAGCATACGGAGGGCGGACATGCAGGCCCTGTGAGGTCAGCCCTGTGTCCTCTGCGACTCACCTTTCCTACCCACCCCCCAACTACGCCCCTCTAGTCACAGCCACCTACTCCCTGTCTATGGACCACGCCTCCAGTGACCCCTCTGTTGTTTGGATACTCTTCCTCAGGAGTCCACATGGGTCACTTCCTTACCCTTACTCAATGTCACCTTCTCATGGGGACCTTTCTCAATGACTCTACTTTTAATGGAAGCAATGCTATTTTTATAATTAAAAAAAAAAACAATAGCTTATTTTTACATCATTTTGTGCATTTTTCCATCTTAGTTGTAATCCCCGTGGGCTTCCCATCACCACATCACCCGTGTGCCATCACCATAGTATTTTTATAGTTTTAAACAACCATATGTAAGCATAGAAAAGCTTCAAAAGGATACATAAGAACCGATAATGATGCTAACAATGGATCCTTCTGAAGGTTGAAAATTGGTTATTTGTGAAAATAGGATAAAGGGAAATATTTTTTATTTCATTGTTTTAAATAAAATTTTTAAAAATGGTAATACATTTTTGAAAATTAATTGGTCGGTCAATTACATGTCTGTCTAACTTGGGGGTTATATTTTTACCCCTCCACATACGCACATTCTTCACTCACCCTCACCGGCACCCCGGTCAGTGTCCTCCCCCACCTTTTCCCCTTCTCTCTTCCCTTCCCTGTTCCTGTTGGCAACCAGTATATTTTTCACTAAGTCTAAGAATTGTTTTTGCTGTGCATTGCCAGTTTATTTTTTATTCTTTTCTATTTCACAGATAAGTGAAACCATCTGATACCTGTCTTTCACTTTCTGACTTATTTCACCTCAAGATCTGTCCATTTTGTCCAAAAAAGCATTATTTTAGTTTCTCTAAATAGCTCAACATTACTCCAATGAGTATATATTCCACAATTTCCACAATATAACCGTTGGAGGCAGAATAACTGCCTGCAAAGACACCATTGTCCTAATCCCAGGAACCTGTAGATGTTAGGAGACATTGCCTAACATTGTGTGATTGAGGCCTTTGAACTCAGAAGAAAATCCTATATTGTTTTGGTGGTCCCAATGTAACCACGTGTTCCTTTAAAACAGAGGTGGAGAGAAATAAGACCACTTATATGGAGGAAACGCAGTGGGGGAATGGCAGCTGAGGCTGGAGTAGTGCCTGCAAGTCAAGGGATGCCAGATGCCTCTAGAAGCTGCAAGAGGCAAACAGCAGACTCTCCACTGGAGTCTCCAGAAAGAAGGAGACCTCCCAGCACTTTGCCTTTAGTAGAACTGATTTGGGGCTTGTGTAGTCTCTGAAACTGTCTAGAGGAATCTGGGCCTCACTGGTGGCTACAGGTGAAGTCTCAGCACTATCACCTCTACGGCCTGGGTTCGACCCCTGACCAGGGAGGTGACCCACATGCGGCTCAGCAACACTTGTCCGCTGCTCCCCTCAGCAGTGCATTTCAGTAAATCCGCCTGTCCTGCTCCCCACTCTGTCTCTGGGGAATCCTCTCATTCCCACGTACCTCTGGCCTACAGCCCAGTTTATCTTTGCAAAAGAAAAAAAAAAAGAAAATCTGTGGAAAGCTTCCCAGTGTGTGACAATTCCTTACAGCAGTCACAGGGAACTACCACACCTGTGTCACCCACCTCCCAACCTCCCTCAAGCTTTCCCCTCTGGCCTTATCTGACTCGAGCTGTTGTATTTGTTAGCACTGGCTGCCTCCTTAGGTGGGTGTCAGCTCCAGGAGGGCTGGAGCCTTTGTTTTGTTCTCTGCTGGCTCCCAGTTGGTGTGCTGTGTTGGGTGAAATTGTGTGGAATGGCAGGCCACCCGCCTGGGACTCGGGAGTTGGTGCAGTGTGTGGCTGTAGGAGATCTGTCAGAGCAGTGTCAGAGTGTGAGCTATCTTGCATGTGAAGAGGGTTAACACAGAACCCCCCCACGGGTGTGGCCGGACCTAAGTGAGGTGCCGTTTATTCTCACTGGTGAGCTGTGACTGCTGGCCTATGTCCAAGAAGCAGAGGGTGGCTGTGGGATAGTCCTGTACTGCTCAGCAGGTCCTGCTGGGTTCTCTGAGCGGGCTCCTGGCCTGCCCTGGAGTTAACTTCCCACGAATTCTGGCCTAAAGGATGCTAGCCCAGATTGGGGCCAAGCCAGCTGCTTCCCACGGGTACCCATGCTGACAGGTCCCGCCTCACCACTGCCAGTGCTTTTCCTGGATGCTGCATAGCTTGCATTTCAGAGAGCAGTTCTCTTAGAAGCTCTTGGGGCCTTCAGAGGCCTCCTACTTTGGAGAGCCACCACTACCCACCCCCCTGGATGTGATCAGATAATTTCCTTACAGGTTTGGACTTCAGCTTAGAGAGCATTGGTGCTGAAACCTTAGGGCTGAGCCTATGAAGACTCTCAGATCCTAGTGCCTTAGACAGAGAGCAGGAAACTGAGACAGGGGAGGGAGGGTAACCTGGCCTTGCTTCCATCCCTGGCTGGGGAGCACCCCCACCCCCACCCCAGCTCCATGCTAGCCATAGAGAGGCTTGTCTACAGGAGGGCTGCAAAAGCAGCCCTGTAAAGGTGAGTGACTGAGCCTTCGTTAGTGTTTGGGGAACCAGATTACCATTGCTTTGCCTCTTACTGGCCTTGTGACTCAGGACACAGAATCAGCTTGCCAAGCCTCAGTTTACTCATGGGTAAAATGAGACCAGTGAAAGTACTGAAAGAACTGAACTGTTGGGAAGCTTAATTTACATGAGAGTAATCATGTCTCTGGCTTGGCAGGGTGCCTGGCACATCAATAAATAATAGCGACAGTCATGACAGGGGAGTGATGATGGCACCAGAGGGTTCCATGACCCAGCATAAGACACCACCCCGTCTCCCCTTGCTTCCTGCAGGATATGGGAGAGTGGGCACGCTAACATCCACAGGGCAGAGAGGACCTTGTTCCCCTCAGTCAGTGCTCTGTACCCACTGTCTCTGGCTGGGCAGGAGGGCCAGCACACAGGGGATAGGGGAGGTCATGCATAGCGCAAGTTTCTTACCTTGGTTGTCGTAGGACGTGATGACCTGTGTCTGCTGAGGATACTGCTTCTCCGCCAGGTTTCCTATTTAAGGAAAACAGAAGGACCAGCAGTGACCACTAGGGCCACAGTGGGAACTTCCTGGGCAGAGCAGAAGCTGTGGGTGTCTGCACGACAGGCCACTGGCAGGGTCCAGCTCATCCCAGGTCTGGCCTAATACCCCATGTGCACCCCCTCACCCCTCCAACAGCACAGTGACACACCAGGATACAGAGAAAATGTGTGCCCATGATACCCCCCCACCCCCCACACACTTTTCAGCAGGTGAAGGCCAGCACAGCTTGGGCTTCTTACCAGCTCCTGTGGGCTAAGCCACCACAGGTCTGGACTTTGGTTTCACCAGGCACAGTCCTCAAAGCACACAGGATCCCTCGCTATCTTTCCACATTTCTGCGGATGAGCTGTGAGGTCCTTATGCCAACTTTACAGCTGAAGGCCTGAAGCATGGACTGCCGAGGAAGGTGAGACCTGGATTCACCTTGCCCTGACTATTAGCTCAGCCTCGTACCTCCTTCGAGGAATGGGATTGGAGTAACTAGCAGTCTGGTTCTGCTTCACAAACATTTGCAGGGACCTACTGTGTTAACTCTGTCCACACACTAGGGCTTGTCCCTGGAGCACAGCGCCATCCTCAGAACCTAGTGAGGTCAGGATATGTGGAGAGATGCCCAGTTTCTGCCTCAGGACATGAAGGGGGAACACAGGCTTCTGACCTCTCCTACAGGAAGTGTGGCCTTTCTTGCCCCTCTTTCTAGCAGCTGCAGAGTTCTGGTCTTGCTGAGGCTGCCCTTGAACCTCTGCTTCAGAAGGGTGTGGGGAGAAGTTGGGCAAAGTCCAGAGTGCTGCAGCAGGAGGTTCCCATCCAGCCACTGCCCTGACCTGCCATCTTCTTCCCTGGTTTTCTATTGCTCTACAGAAAGGCTCCTGGGCCTATCCGGGGAAGTGACCACTAGGAACATTCCCTGGGTCTGGAAAGAAGCTTGCCTCTGGACCACTGGCCTGGTCAGCTTTTAATTGTGCACCAAACCAGTGCATCCCACACGAAAGCCAATCAAGGTGGGTGAATGGGCTTGTGATCCATCTGCAGGGTCTTGCCCTGGAGGAGACTGCCTGCTCCAACCTTCTCCTATGAACAGGCCCAACCTGGCCCTCGACTGCAGTTGGTTGGTCCCTTCAATCCCCCAGGCTGCAGTTGGTCGGTCAGTTGGGCAAGGGCCAGGTTCACTGAGTGTGCCAACCGAGGATGATGCGTCTGCCTGGCCGGAATCCCGGGCCAGACCCAAGCGAGGACAGGGGGGCCGCCTCCTGCAGGCACAGCTGGCCGCATGTCTGCTCGTCTGACTGAGGGAGGAAACAGGATCTGGGAAGGGAATCCTCACGGAGGGTGATTGGCTGGCATAGCTGCTGTGGGGTATTTATAGTCAGGCTGCACCACTGCTTCTCCTGTAGCTGTGGCGCTTCAGGGCCGTGCTGCTAGGCAGACTTTGGCCACTACCAAGGAGAGCAGCCAATCACAGCAGGGGAAGCCGGTTGCCAGGCAAGCTGGGGGTGGCTGGGCCCAGACACCTGCTGCTTGGAAAAGTTTGGAGCAACACAGCTGCCAGCACCCCGGCCCATGGAGGGCACAGAGCAGCAAGAGGGGGAAACGTGCCCTTCCAGATCAATCTCATGCTTGGCCACTGTCCCCCATTTTCACACTGTCCCCCAGCACACGCCATGGGCTGCTTCCGTCTTAGCGAAAGCCATAGACTGTCCTGGGCTGTGTGCCTTGGGCACCAGCAAGGCGGGTATGTACCCAGAATCTCACCTGTAGGAAACACAGAAGGAAGCTGTGCTTTTAATTTCTGCACGCGTTCTAGTAGACCATGTGATAAATAAATTTTTACTTCACATTACATCAATTGGTGGAGTGCTGGAACCATCATCTTTCCTCAGCCCAAGGCCTCAATAAACCTCTCACCAGCCCTGGATTACTGAAAACTCTCAGTTCTCAGGTGCTTTTCCAAGAACTACTTTAATCATCCTCTTTATCAGGTGACACATTGTACTAAGAGCCACTTCATCTCTTTTAGATGAGTCCTAAAAGTATTACCACAGTTACTGTGTCACTTGGGTTTTGTTGTATTTTTCCATGAAATGTTTCCCCAAACCAGAAACTCTGAAGTTGATAAAAACTGTATTAACTTTTTTTAATATTCTTCAGATATAATTCGTGCAAAGAAGCCATCAAATGGGTTTCAGACAACACGGCCAAGGTAAGCTCCTGCATCTCTTCCTCCCACCGTGATCTGCTTGCCCCTTGCCTATGGGCACAAGATTGAGCTCGGGCTGCTGTGCCTTTCCAAGACTGCCAGGTCTCTGCAGGACTGATTCTTGTCATCATTCTCATTAGTTTGCAGCACTGGTACTAGCTTTGATGTCCAATTCAGTAGAGCTAAAGCTGGCTCATTACTAGGTAAAGTCCCCAATAGCCCAGTGAAGGTGGCCATCCTGCCATGTGTGCCCACCAGTGAGGACACAGAGTGGTGGCTGTGGGGTTGGGTGGGAATTTCTTGAGGCTGACTCGGACTCACGCACATGACAGGGATAGGCAAGCTCTTCACCTTGAGGGACTGGGACTTCACTGCAGTGAACGGCATGATGATCACGATCGTTTTACCATAATCCCACGAAGGCAGGGCTTCTTGACTTTCTTGTTCTGTTTCCTCCCCAACAATTAGAACGCTGTCTGGCACTGCAGACCTTGACAAAGGGGACAACTGAATAGGTTTCCTTTTTGAACTTCATCTTTCCTTTTGTTCCAGTCAGAACAATGGCAGAATAAAGTCTGGTTCAATTGCAATTCTATCCTCCTTCTTCGGGGTCTTAGTTCCCTCACAGTGGCCTCTGATGCCAGTCATCTTGACTCTGTGGTTCACACAGCTCACACAGCTGGGGTCTGACTGAGCTCGCTAGTTTGGCTTTGGGAGTGAGATGTGATTCCTACTAGAATTTCTACAAGTCCACAGTGCAGTTCTGTTGATGTTTGTCCCTGGAAGCTGGGCTAGTGAGTCCTTGAAAGGCATAGAATGAGGCCCAATATAGTCAGGCCCATAAACACACGGCATTGACAGCACCATCCTGGGCCTGCAGGGCATCGGTTGCCTGGCACTAGAGAGAGAAGGTGTTGGAAGCCGACTTCTCTCAGATCTTATTGTATTCTGGGTCCCAGGCCAACAGGGAGCCACAGATGCCTCGATTGGCATCTCCCTGGACCTTGAGTAATGCTGTCCCAAGGCAGGACACTCTCCTCTCTGTTTGGAAGAATTTTCAAAAATGATACTCCACAGGTCATGAACCTGAAAGAGAACACTTAAACCTCACTATTCCAAAAGAAGCAAAGTCCTTCCCTCCAGCTCAGCCAGCAAACAAGTGGGTGCTCAAGTCTGTGATGTTGCCTCTTTACCCCACTTCTTCCAGGAAATCAGGGGGCCTAGTGCCAGGAAAAACTTTTCAGGGTCATAGTGACCCCAGAGCCTTGGCTGTTTCATGAGCAGTTAATCACTTTCTGAGTGGTTAGATGTCTAGAGTCTTAAAGCCAGTGAAAATTAATCCTTCTTATCATTTCCCAATGATATAGTCCCAGAGATTAGAAGAAAAATACAACAAAAAGGAGAATTTTACCTAGCAGGCTGTTTCCTTCTAATTTCTGCCATCCCTGGATTTTATTATTGACACCTTGGAGTCCTATGAAATAACAAGGACGTGTGAGGCTCTCTGTGGTAAATAGACTGATGTGTCTGCTGTAGACTTATCTGGGTTAATGTGGGACTGTTTGAGATTGGCCTTCTCAAGGCCCAGGGATAGCTGCCTACAGATGAGGCACCCTGAGGAATGAAAGCAGCCCTCAACAGACAGATATGTGTGTGTGTGTGTGTGTGTGTGTGTATAATTTTATAAATATAATAAGTAAAATATATGTCTATAATATGTATTGATTAATATATGTATTATATATAATCATTATATATCTGTATATAAACATACAAATATATAAAAAATGTTAAAAGTACTAAAACAGTAGCTTTCAAGAAGGTCATCAACTCATGACTGAGTTGAAGACCAAGATCATCTGGGAAGAACTTCTGCAATATTAGATGGTCATTTTCAGATTTTTTTTTTGCAATATTAGATGGTCATTTTCATTTTCAGATATATCTCCACCGCGTAATATGGAAGTATTTTCGTAGAAGACATTCACCATTCATTTTGTCTGTTTCTGTACATGATAAATTTCCTACTTTAGGATCTTGATGTTAGGAGTGGGCAAAGGCTGCCTATCCCTATGGGATAGTGATAGCTGAAGTTGCTGGCTTTCCCAGACTCCCTTGCGGCTACAGTGTGGACATGTATGGCTAAAGCACCAGCGATCAGCTGACCCTGCATCTGATTTTGTCTTGGTACCTGGTGGTGCAAGTGGAGGGGACTGGAGTACCCCTTCTCCTCCCACTCCCATCACAGCTAGACATGGTGCTGTAAGATGGAGTTCCTGACACAGAACAGGCATACATGCTGCCCCTGTGGAAGCAGCACAATGAAATAAAGTTCCTGACGTGGAAGGAGCACCTAGTGCTCCTTAATCACCCTGCAGCTTTCCTCACCAGGTCGGCTCTGCTGAGCAGTTCATGGTACTCTTTCTGGGAGTTCTGTCTCCAGCTCTTTCAACCACTCAGAGGCATCCCATTCCTTCTTAGCACTCTTCTTCTGCGCAGAGTTCTCCAGTTAGTGTCTGGGACTTAACACTGGGCACACACTTGTGGAATACACTGCTTATATTCCATCACACTGACCTCAGGGATAACAGCTGAGACTTTAAAACTTTCAGACTTGGTGCAGTTACTTTTAGGTTACCCCCTCCATTGCCAGAGGAATGCCTGAGGAGAGTTATGGGCTCATAGGCACCTTTTTTTTTTTTTTTAAGAAGCCCTGCTGTGGAAAAATGCTAGAGCCCTAGAGGAAAGGGGAGAGTCGCTTGGCCTTGCAACCTGGTGCCTTCGCCTTGCTGTACCTTTGACTTTTTCTGCTATAGAGGCACAGAGAAGAGTGTCACATCCTCTGTGAAGAGACCATAACTAGCTTTTATTTTTTCTGACATGGAGCTCAGACCCTCCTTTGCCGAGCCAGAGAACATTCACTCCCCAGCTGAGAACCTAGAGTGGGGAGGAGAAGGGAGAAGACGCTTAGCAGTGGGTAGGGTGCTAAGCCCAGTCTTGGAACAAGCTAGTCTTATTCCGTGTTTTGCCTGTATAGGCTGTGTCCCATGAAGAGGGTCTACCAGCTGGCCTCGCAGGGGTCTCCTGCTGGAGTTCGCAGCTCTGCAGGCCTCCAAGGATGTGCACCCTTTCCCCTTCTTTGTTCCAGGACAGAACTGAATGGTTGTGAATAAGTGACATAGATCTCTTCAGTACTGAGGTGACTCTGAGAGACTTCTATCAGGTAAATTTGAGAAATATAGCAGGGAGGGCCTAGGAAGTGAGTTCTTCTTTCCCTGCATCATGGTTATGAGCGTCTGTTGGTCTGGTGTCGCACAGGCCCAGTGCTAGGTGCTGGGCACCTCTTGGTGCAATCCCAACTCTGGTATTTCCAGGGCTTCTATGTGTTCTTCACTTTTTTCTAGTGTCAAAGTCTTTAGGAGTGATGTGACTAGAGGAGGGGAATTTGCTGGACCCCGTTGGGGGGTCCTCGGGTCTTGTCATACACTGGGGAAGATTTTCTGACTACATGTGTATAGTTGAGCAGACTCCTTTCTATCAGAGAGCTGATGGCTATTTCTCCTTCTTCTGAGGGCAGCTCCACGAGCTAAAGAACCCAAAGAATGCCTGAGGCTGGAATACCTGTGAGTGCTCTCAGCTTTCCAGAATCGATTTCTTTTGTCTGCATGCCTCCCTAGAGGTCACCAGGAGCCATAAGGCACCACCGTTTGTGTCTCTGGTGGGGACAAAGCTAACCACATCACCATTGCTTCACCAGGCCAGGTAGAAGGTAGATGGCTGAGGCACATAGGGGCTCTGGGAACAGAAGAGCTGGAAGACAGACTCCAAGGAGCTTCAGAGCTGGCAAGCAGGAGGGAGGCAGGCGTCACTGCAGCGTGGCCTGTCAAGCATTGTTGCCAAAGAACTGGTGCACAGTCAGCCTACTGCACCCTCACATTAGCCGCCTTCAGGCCTCCGCCAGGCTTTCCTCATAGACCCAGGCTCCCTGTGTCCCCAGATTTCTGAGGGACTGGCTTACCTTCCTTTACTATCCATCTGTACTCTGGAGAAGAGAGGCCCAGGACCAGCTTGTCCCAACCACTCTATAAACACTACCAGTCTCCCCCATACCCACCCCACCCCTTCAGAAAGCGGTAGCACAAATAAAATCAATGCTCAGTGAAAGTAGGGAGAGCAGATTTCAAGCCTAACTTTCCCCAAAGGCCTGTGTGCCTTTACACTTTTTACACCTTCTATCCCAGAAGGCTGTGAGAAAGCCCTAGAAAGGGGAAACTGAGCCCATGAGTTGAGCAAGGGACCACCCCATTTCAAAGTCTGACTCAGTAAGCAGATTCCCGTGGGTCCTCTGTGCCCTGCAGTGTGCCCTGTGGGGAGCAGCCCCAGCTAGGCGGAGGTCAGCCCCGAGGCTTTGGAACCCCTTCCTATAGGGCATCCCCCAACCTTAACCAGCACCCTCCAAACAGTGGCTAGGAAGAAACTGGCGCCCAGGGGTGACGGAACCACGCACAGGCCTGCACTGAATCAACCCAGGGCAATCACGGGGCTGTGCGTTGCTACGGGACGCCAGAGCCACCGCTAGGAGCTAGGAGACAGGGGCGAGGGCCGTCTCTCTGACCTCCTTTGGGGGCGCCCGCGCCCCTCGGCTGGCGGGCCCTGGGGTAAGGAGGTCGAGGTGTGATGGAGGCCTGGGTGCCCGGCCCGAGGGGTCGGGGCGGGCGTGCTTTACCTCCTCTGCGCTGCAGCAACGTGCCCGGGTCTGCCTGCTGGTCGGAGTGCGTGCCCTGGGCGGCGCGCCGCTTCTCCGAGTGCACGATTAGCAGCATGTCGATGGACACGGCGTTGCTGTCCTTCTTCAGCTCCATGGCTCCGCCTCGCTCCAGGCCGGCTCGCCGCGGCCGCTCGCAAGGCTGCCTGCGCTGCAAATGGCCCCGTGCGCGCTGCTGCCGGGTGCGGGCGACCGCGAGGGCGCAGGAGAGGGCGCTCCCCTGCCGCCGAGTCGTTGGGCGCCGCGTTTCGCTGACTCTGCCAAACACGCCATTAGGGCCTGCCTGGGAGGGCGCTACCCCACCGAAGCGGCTGTAAGTCACCTTTGAAAGGAAATCCTCAGCCAAGTCCTGACCTGCGCCGAGGCCACAGTCCGCAGAGGCCGCTGGCTCCAGAGTCTCCCTCCCTGGCGCCCTGCCTCCGGCCCCGTGCGCTTCAAGCTCCGGACTGCCGCTCCAAGACTATTCTCGGTTGACTTGGCGCGGCCTCGTTCCTGCGATCTCTGAGGTGGGGACAGAGCGACAGAAGCAGCCCCCCCCCGCCCCCCTAAAACCATGGCCAATACAGAAATCACACGGCGCTGTCAACAGCTAAAGTTAGTTCAGGAAAAAAAGAAAAACATCCAGGGGGCTCCAGATTGGGAGGTGGGGAGACGTTAACCGAGTTTTGGTTTTCACCCCATTCACTTTCCTGGGTGGTTTTATAAGTTGGTCGCTTCCTACCTAAGAGGGAGAAGGGTGGGGTGTTGGGGGTCAGCACCCAACTCACCCCATTATGGCCCCATGGGAATTTGGAACATGTCCACTGGGTATCAGCCTAACAGCTTTTCTGGCCTGAAGTGAAAATCTTCACGTCTCTGGTTTTTTTTTCCTTCTTCTAGAAACCTGGCTCCTGCATGGTGGGGAGAGGGGAGGGGAGGAGGAAGAGGCTGGGGTTCAGAGAGCAGCCTGCCTGTTGTGGTTTGGGAGCTGGACTGGAGAGCCCATCTATTTTTAGTGGGGCCTGGCCCGCTCAAAGTCAGTGGCAGGGCCTTTGGCTCTAGGTTTTAGGCGTGTTTACAGCAGCATCTGCCTGGTAGCCCTGGGCAGGGCGGACCCACCCTGCTGGGGCCAGAACTCCTAACCTGAATTTCCACCAGTAATGGTCACTGTGCATATGGCCACTTTTGCTCTGGGCTGCTGCTCACCATGAAGTGCACACCGTCTGTCAGAGCGTCGACCTGCCCCTTGGAGGCAGACCATTTGGCACATGCCTGGGTTCCAGTCTCTGTTCTGCCACTTACTGCCCATGTGACCTTAGACAAACCATTTCCTTTTCATTCCCTCACTGGTATCATGGGCTTAATACAAATTCTCCCAGGACTGTGATGAGACAGATGAGCATGCAAGGTGCCCAGCACATAATAAGTGGTCTGTGACAGCTGCCATTCACACCTCACTTCGAGGGGGAGAATGCAGGGGAGCTGACGTGACAGACCAGTAATGGAGCAGGGGGTCACACAGGTAACGACACCTTCAGACTGTGAGCCTCTTTCCCTCTGAACGTGGCTCACAGTTTTGTTGCCTGTAAACTGCCACTTCAGTGCATCACCTTGCTCACTGGGCATCTGTTGAAAAGAGAGGAGACTGGCTTCTGATATTGTTGAGCTGGAGTGCCTGGAGAGCTGGACTGTGGCTGGTGGAGGAAGGTGACTCCAGAGGCTTCAGTGAGTCCTGTGTCTGCGTATGTACACGCACACACACATACACACACACGCTACATGATTTGGAGAGCTTAAGCCTTGCAGCTCTCTAGGTGACTGGGAAGAAAGAACTATGGATAATTTGAAGCCTCTGAGATCTTAGAGCTTGCCCTGGGAGTTCTCTGATTCCATGTGACCCCGCCTAATCTGGGACAATATAGCCTAACTCCTTTGAGGATGCAGATCCTAACAGAAGTTCCAGCACAGTCCTCATCGTAGGGGGAGGCCTGTGCACTGGTTATGCAGCAGCATTCTTGGGCTCGACCTAGTAGGTGTCAGTAGTAGAACCCATTTCCCAGTTATGGTAAACTAGGATGTCTCCAAATAGTGACATATGTTTCCTGGGGGACAACACTGCCTTGGGAACACTGCTTTGGAGCGAGACCACGGTGGAGGGGCCATGGTACCTTGACTGCTCTGGGAGATGCTGCTGTCCTGGATCCTGATGTTGCCTCAAACCTTCACCCACTCCTCAGGCCGCCCCCCCCCCCGCCAGCCTGAGCCCCCACCCTTGACCCACTGTGCAGCAGCTGACTTCTTGGGCCTGCAGAACTTCTCCCTGCCAGAAGCATGGATGGAAAGATCTGGTGCTTTCTGACTCCCACTCTGCCCCATCCCTGACTTTCCTGCTGACCCTTCCTTAGCCTTGCTATTTGCTTTAGAATGAGAGAGAGATCCCATGAGGAAGGTGTGTGACTAAGGGCATTTAGACATATCTGGAAGTGGGAGGAGAGCAGGAGAAAACTGAAGCCAGGGGATAGCACTCAGAAGGTCTGTCCTTTCTCAAACCTCCCTCCATTGTCCTCACAGCTAGTAGACACTGCCCAGCCCTCTGCCTGTGATTTACATCACATGCAGCTCCCTATAGACCCACCTTGTCTTCTTTCCCTGCCACTCCGCATGTGCAGCAGTCACAGCCATGTTCACACCTCCCCAGGGTCCTTTGCTCCGCCCACTGGCCACTCCATTCTACCACCATCTGGAACAAGTGTGGTTTCAAGGCCCTCTGTATTTTTATGCTAACGATTATTCTGTGCCCTTTCCTTAGGTTCTGACAAAACAGGGGTTATCTCCATTCTTGAGTAAAACTTTAATTATTTTAATCAAGATGGGGTGAAAATTTCAGACACTGAAGGATGGAGGGCAGTCAAAATGACTGAATCGTCACCTTTGTCCTCCATCACGTGGATTGCTCAGACATGTCCTGGTGCCACGCAGGCCGCTTCCCCCCTCTGCTTAAAGGTAGGATTTGTCAGCTGTCTGAGCCGTCTGAGCCCTGACCTGACATTACAACCTTGAAGGTGGGGGCGGGTGGCAGGGGAGGCTCACTCCCAGCAGCAGAGGTCTGGCCAGCACAAGGGGGCAGAGTGTTCTGATTCATATTAAATGTTTTTCCTCGGAAATATTTGTTCTTTAGGAAACACCAGTAGTAACTGCTTTACTTCTCTTGAGATTTCAAGAGGGTTCCTTCTTTACAGAGACATAACAGGTCAGGCAATATGTAAAAGACCTTTAACAAGAGATCTGTTCATAAGACATGTTTTTCTCCTCCGTGATGTAGTAAGAAGGGATTTCCAGACAGTGGAGCAACTTGGTGAAAAGCAACAGACCAAGACCCAAACTTCTCATCCCCTTACTTCCCAAGATGGGCAGTGGTTGCTGGAGTCTAAACATTTTTTTCCAGGTTCCTTTTTGAATCTGGAAATCTGTGGGCTTCCTAGGGTAACGTGGTCAGTGTTGGCTTGCTTCTATGTTTGAAGTTTTCTTTTTTTTTTAAGATTTATTTATTTATTCATACAGAACTAGGGTATTGACCAGAGGTGCAGGGGCAGTGAGAGGAGTGAGAGGATTCACCAGAGACAGAGTGGGGAGCAGAACAGGCAGATTGATGACGTACACTGCTGAGGGGATCAGCGGGCAGGTCAGGAGAGGTCTGCCACGCCATGTGGGTCACCTCTGGGGTGGGGATGGAATTCATACTGAAGTGGCTTTAGCTTCTTAGTGCTGTGCATTAACCGTCTGTGCCAGCAGGAAGGACCCTGTTTGAGTTGTTTATATTGCTATCACCTCTTCTGGAAAACCTCTGGACCTCCCTAGCAAGTAAAGTCCTGCTATCCTTCAAGGCCTGACACAGGCCCTCACCTCCACACTGAGGCCTTCCTTGCCACCTTAATTTGGGGAGCTCCTGCTGAATGCCGTCTTTGTGTGCCTTTCTTACTGTCTTTCTGACTCTCAATGGCTAGTAGGAACTGGACAGTTCGAGTCTCGTACTCATCAAATTTAGAGAACCTGCCAGACCACCCTGGAGCAGTTACGCCAGGCCAGCGTATATTCCCAGACATCACCTCCCAGCAGGAGGCAACCTTGGCAATATACTGAATCTCTCTGAGCCCCAGTTTTCCTCATCTGTCAAATGGGGATTAAATAAACAAATTACTTAGCTTAGTTATAACTGTGACAAAACTTCTATTCTGTCCAAACCCTTTTCTGGGTCCTGCTCTGTGGAGGGTCTCATGGATGTGGTTCTACAACTGGTGGAGGTCGGGAGCGACTGGGGACACCCCAGATACTCCCACCTTGGAAGAGTACCTTGGAAGTTGCCTCCCTCCTGTATCACTGTGTGCCTTTACAGAGAAGCTCAGTGAGCTGCAGGATCCATTCCACACAGACGGGCAAACAGTTGTATGGAAGCTTCCCCGTCAGTAGGAGTTATGGTTTGGCCACCACTGACCTCTGAGCACTTCTAGATGGTGGGATATGCCTCTGTATAATCTCTGTTTGATAGACAAGAGACTGAGGCTTAGAGATCCAAGGTGACCTACCCACAGGTTTCTCCAACAGGTGACATCCTAGTCCTTGGCATCCTCCTGTATATGACTCCAAAGCCCCCGTGCTGACACTCCTTCCATATGACCATTACAGGTCTGTGTGCTGAGCTGATAGCACCCTGGCTGAGGGGAAGACCAGCCATCAGCTTGTGGGGGGCTGCCTTTAAAATTCACAGTGAATATACTCCAAACCAGGGGTTCAAGATCTCTGTTAAAACTCTTGGAAAAATTCTTTGAGCATAAGCCCTGAGCTAGCCCTTTGGCATCAGTTGGAGAGGACTGGTGGCAGGGGCAGCTGTCAAAAGTTGATGATCAGGGGCCCTCCCTGGTGGCACAGTGGGTTAAAGCACTGCACTAAAGCTAAAGACACTTCTGCATGAGTTCGATCCCCCCTGGCTGGGAGGTGATCCACATGGCATGGCAGGCCTCTCCTGACCCGCCCGCTGCTCCCCTCAGCAGTGTACTTTGTCAGTCAGCCTGTTCTGCTCCCCACTGCCTCTGGTGAATCCTCTCACCACCCCTGCACCTC